CCCCAAAACCCCAAAACCCCAAAACCCCAAAACCCCAAAACCCCAAAATCTTAAAACCTATTTGAAACCACGCTAGGATAAATTAGACAAGCAATAATATAAATTATGTCTTTGAAAGTTCATTTAGAGCAGCCTGACAAGCCAGAGATTGACCTTAGTGATCTCTCCGATGATGGAATGGTGGATATATTGGCCAATGAAGAAGCAAAGGAAGAAGGTTATATAAATTTCAGATATAATTTCCTGGAAGTTATGACTGATAAGAAAGGAAAGGTGCATAAAGCAGTACACTTCCCACTGTGGCAATATGATGGTTGATACAACGGAAATCTACACTTTGGCCCTGACAGAATCTCCCAAAGTCTGCTGTTCGATACTGGAGATTCGGGCATATGGATAAAACAAGGATGTTGTAAGAGGAAAGAAGATAGGATCAGCGATCATGGTAACTTAGATTACGATCTAGACATTGAGGAGATCCCTGAAAATCCTACCAGTAAGAGCTATGTCAACACTACAATTGTTTACGGAAACCTTACTTCTAATAAAATACATGTTCTCGAGCCAAATCTTTATCAAATAGAAAAGATGGATGCTGAAGTGCCATCAAAAATATCTATTAATCTTAACATGAGCTTCTCTCTAATCCACTCTATAAAATAAAGAAGACACTGAAATAATAGTTGGTGATGGGCTCCTTGGTCTCGGCGATTTCGATGACGACAAGCATCACCGATTCCTTAATGAACTTCAAAGGAAATACTTCAAAAATCGGCATGTTAAGATGGTATTCCACCTCTCTCCAGATTATGATGAAAACTCATGGGTGAAAATAGGTGATTTGACTCAGAATTATCCTAACATATTTTATATCGACCTTCTCAGAGAGTATAAGTACTGCAAATATGGCGAGAAAGAATGGAAGACTGATCCTCCATCTATAATTATAAATTATGAAAGGATTGCCCTCTATTCCAACAGTTGACTCTGGGACACAGGAGATTTCCTTATTCGAATGAAAGAAGAAGACTTTGACACAGTCATAAAAGCCTTAGCCAATGGAAGAAAAATTATATCTTTTCATAATGGGATGAAAGGATTTGAGTGAGACTCTTTGGATGAAATCGATCCTATTACTCTCCAATTTGGTCATTGTTTTATTAAGCTAGAGCCAGAAGAGTTTGCGATCTTAGGACATAGATTCTGAATAATACAAATAATACCCCGGAAGAGCTGCTACATTACCCTTGGGACCTGAGTAATGAAGGGCAGGATTACCATTTTTGATCTCCAAAACAGCAGGATTGGGATACAATGTGACAAATCGTTCTAATTATCATAAATTTTTAGTATAAGAAATTTCAACAAAGGTTGTATTATTAGGGGTTTTGGGGTTTTGGGGTTTTGGGGTTTTGGGGTTTTGGGGTTTTGGGG